GCGGATCCAATATTCACTTTCTAATGATCACTCAGCGCCTATTCAGTAATTAACCTAATTGAATAAGTTTCCAAGCAAAATTTTTTGATAACACCTTATGAAGCTGACAGTTTCCGACTGTTCCCTTGCAATATCAAGTGATGCTATTAATATTGATGAAAATCTCATTAATTGTTAACACTTTTTCTCCTACCTCTCTTCCTTCTACCTACATTAAATGTCTACCTGAATGAATAGGNAATATCAAGTGATGCTATTAATATTGATGAAAATCTCATTAATCGTTAACACTTTTCCTTCTACCTCTCTTCCTTCTACCTACATTAAATGTCTACCTGAATGAATAGGTCATCTAAGACCATCTAACCTGTTAATTTATGTTGGTATCTCTTCGATTATACCTCACTAGGAAATGATTATTATTGTTATTTGTATAATTATTACCATCCAGATGTACACTCATACTGATGAAAATGATTTACTCATTAACAATACTGCTATTGATGAATATAATGCGTTGTTGATTACCTGTAGTTTATTTCTCATTTTTTATGCATTGCTTCATCTACTTGATTGCGCATAAGGCGTTGTATTCATTCATATTAGTTCCATAATAAATTACAAGTTGTGAATGTAATATATGGGCATATTGCGAATAAAATGCGACGATATGTCGAATGTATCACGAAAATAATATCAATTTATTGGGCTCAGGATGATTTAATTTGATATTGCTGCTTTCATCATTGAAACCTTCAGAACGGATATCTTGCTCGATCGAGGTCATTTGCCTTTTAGGGCTCTTTCATTTCATCTTCATTCGTAGTCCATTACTATCATATTTTTGAATCAGTTAGAACATAAATTTTCATTAAACATTTCAACGAATCAGCTGGAATTATTTATTTCACTCTCTTATCCAATTAATATGACTTCAACACACTGATTAACCACTTCAATTCGCATTTCAAAACATTTCATATGAATCTACAATACAACTGAAATTAGTGAAACAACACGAAATAAATCAAAATAATTAAGAATAAATTACACAACAACTTTATGTTTCATGTAAAAAGCTGTGCATTAGCGATGAGATGCGAGCTTATTTAAACGTCTAAAATGACGATAACATTAAAATAATAATGATGCTGACTGAACATTAACAATACTGACGCAATACTTCAGCTCCAACTACAACAATGTATTGATACATCCGAAACTGATGTATTCGAAATGTTTCTTTATTTCGCTCATTCAAGCTATGATTATTACTCTGTAAGTTAAATTCTGCATCGGCAAAAGTTCCTGATGTTTCTTCTCAATTTACCGTAGGTGTCTGCCCAGAATATCGATCTAGAATATGATAAATCCAGAATAAACAATTATTCTGAAATGAGATTTACGAACGAAATCACCGTAACTGAACGAATAAATTAACCAACAAACGAATGGACGTGAATGTACACAAAAACAATTAATACTTATAAGTAAACACATCAATGAATTGGTGATCGATCTTATGCACTGATGAATAAAGCTGTGCGAAAAAGTTGTAAGGTGTCAAAAAGAAAATGTGGAAGCGATGGCCTAGTCAAGTGACTGACTCTTTACGAGTTCGTGTTCCTTTTCTGATGATTTGGAGCCCTCCTTGCTGGGGCCATTAGAGATCTGAAAACAACAGAGTAATTGATTTATGATCAAGTAATAATATCAGCTAATGATCACTACAAATGGTGCTCGTATAATATTAATAGTATATGATGCTTATTACTACTACTACTACTAATAATAATAATAATAATAATGATAATAATAACAATAATAATAACAACTTAATAATAATATTCAATGCAATGATAGTAATCTAAGTAATAACCATGATACCATTGTCAGAAACAATAATCAAAATGATAATAGCACATGTAATTCTAATTACAATAGTACTGGTCCAATGTGGGAACTCAAGCTTTTGATTCAGATATCAAGCAACAATAAAGATTGAATAAAAATAACCTGTAATAGCCACTCTGAGGACATTTCCTTAACCGCTTCGAATAATTCCAACTTTTATTCAACAAAAGTTGTGGGATTGCAATGTTTCTTCCAAGATCGAATTCCTCAGAAGACAGTGCCAACGGCAATTTGAGATGCCTTCTCGGTAAACTCTTCCTTCTGATCTTATCATTATCAGTTGATATTGACTCACTGTTGTCCGGCTGTTTCAACTTAGCATCAGTTTTCTTGCTACCGCCACTATTTCCAGCCTGATCACTCGCAGTTACAGAACTTTCACGAGCGCTATTATTACTTGTGGTTGTGCTACTAGCATTATTATGCTTATTATTAGCAATCTGAACATCAACACCACAGCTATTACGGTTATCAGTTTCAATTCGCCTGCGTTGTTTTCTTGATCTACGAACTCCGGTATACGCCTTCAGATCTGTGCTATCGGCGGCCAAAAAACTTTTCTGTAGTAATCTTATTTTTGGTCGAATTATTTCATCAACTTTGACTTTTGGTCGTAATATCGTGGTGGTGCTTTTCTCAAAGTTCTTTGAGCCACTGTTTTGCGCTGATAAATCCATGTCTGTAACAGTAGTTTCATCGAAAATCCTCCTCCTTCTTGGCCTCCTCACAACACCACTCACGTTTATCATTTGACCACCGTTGTCGATGTCGTATTGTCTCAACAGACTGGAACGTACTCTTTTTCGTGGCGATCGCCCTGATAACAAACTTTCTGGTGAAATTTCGGCACGATCATTGTGAGTGGTTGAGGTGTTCGGAACCGTACCAGTCTCGCTATTTGATACTTTTCGTTTCGGTCTTCCACGTCGACCTTTAATCGACGAAGAAGCTGTTGGGTCGGCGGCTGTCGCCGAACCATTGCCATACTTGCGGAAAAAATTCTCATCAATATCACAGTTCAAAAACGATTCCAATGACAACTGCTCATCTTTGTCATCGTTGTCCTGTTTATTAGGGTCGTGGTCGTGTTCAGTGTTTGCTGGACTGCTTGGTGGTGTATGCAAGTTAGCGTCAACTGGCTCATCTTGTTTGGATTGAAGCGTACATTTCGGTTGATGGCTTCGTTTGGTTGAACGGGAGGAACTATCTGAAATATTCAAATTTATTATAACTGAACTAAAAGTTGTATTTTCTGCTTATAGTTAACATGTAATGGTAGCACACGACAGAAGACCGATACGTTTGAAATCTGAATTTTTTATATTTGTGGAATATTGCTGGCAGACTCTCAACCAAACTCTTTCAATAAGGATAGGGTTTACCTACTACAATCGATCACCCACCCCATTTACCTGTATTTCGATGTGGCTGAAGTTTTTTGAAGTGCTAAAATTTCTGATAAGCAACATTACAAACATGCATCTAGAGCAATATATTAAGGAACCTTTTCCTGTCGCTAACAGAGCGTAATTGACTTGGTGTCGAAGACGACTCGAGATTCGTTTGATCATACTGATTAACAATGCGTGCTGCTAATCTCGAGTTCAGTAATCAGAAATACCAGCAAACGGGAATTATGACTGATGAATAACAGTTTCACTGGTAATGATGTGACTTGAATTGATCTAAATTTGCTAAATTCACTAGTGTTCAGTGCGTTATGGTTCAGTTTCGAGAAAGCAAATTTGGTGATGTGCCACACCGCACCAGCAACTAACTATTCACTCACGTACTCTGCGTCATTGACTAGGCGAGAGAGAGCATGAAAACAGACGGTGGAAAGAGATTGATTGATCAGCTAACGTTACCGAACGCGATCAGCTGTTAAAAGCAAAACTGAATGAGATAAGCAACGCAGCCAGCGCACATTGAGGTTCGTACCTTGTATCTTGACTATTCATTGCTCCATCGAAATTGAATTTTTGAAACGAATTAGAAGATGGTGAGTCATGTTGATCACGATGAGGACAATTTCCGACGTCGAACGTCGTCAACATCAGCGATCTTAAAACGTCATCGAAGGATATCCACTGATTCAGTGGCTAACGCTTTGCTAACTTCAAAGTATGATTCTTTCCACTTCAGATACCTGTTCTTAGCGTTTGGTATTCAATATAACGCATACTTTACGGCACATCTTTAGCAGAGGAACCCCAAATTTCGAAGCCTTCACCCAGAGACTTTGGCGCTGTGTTTATGAGAACTTATGTAGGGTAATCGTGAACCCGAAAATTCGACTATAATATCACACATCGACTTTAATTTGTAACTTGTGTACATGCTCAATATCTTTCACGAATGTGCCTCTGTACAGATATGCGAATGAACTGGTAGGGAAATAAATTCTGAATGCATTCTGTGTCGAAGATGTCTTCATTTATTTTCCAGTGGTGTAATTTTGTCGAAGAGAATTTATATTCATCCAAAAATGTTGTTCAGGTTATTCGCTGTTGATCAACCAATCCATGTGGCTCAAGATTCACTGTTCAGCAGTAGTTCTGGATGGACAA